AAACGCTATTGCGAAACTATAATTTTTTCGGAAATTTGGGCAAAAAAATGTAACCCATAAAATTGGAGAGTTTTGTTAAAATTTTTTCATTTCAAGTAAGTTACCAAGAAGTAAAATATGCAAAACATATCATGTCAATAACAATAAACAAGCAAAATAATTATTATGTATGCGTCCTTCTACTCTGGCGTAGGGTTACACAACAATTGCTTATCGTATCATTTGTACTGCAGTCGAATTTTTATAAATTTCTTTTCGTTTCTCATGAGCTTAAAATTCAAGCAATTCGCGGCTTTAAAATTTGTATCAATCACTTCAAAGCCGCTTCAGAATGCATAGATCGATTGGCTTTCATTGAGAAGACAACTTTTCCATCTCTTCTAGACGATTGTGTATAGATTGCTTTACCAGAAGATGCGGACTTATTAGATTTGTTAGACGGTGTGCAATGCCCAAAAAGTTGTATCAAGGGATGAAGAATGGAGTCGGTGAATATTGCAGGCACAAAACATTGTGATGCAATCGAAAGCAGTTAGGTCGATGAAGCCAAGTATTCAAGCAATATGTTATAAGCTGTTCGAGTCCAATGACATTATTGCCGAGCAGCCCTAGCAATAGCAAATGAGGCGACAAATTTATATTTTAATACATTTACAAATCATCATTATCTACGGCCCCTTGTCATTAATCGGGCAGGTTACATGGACGCCGTCGCGGTTGAAACTTGTTGATTTCGGAACAAAATATTTATCGAGCCATTTTTGGATATCTTCAATTTCGGGAAATCCGTGATCTGGCCAACATGACTGCATCGATCCGAACCTGACGGATCAAAGCTTGGAGACTGCGATTTATGCGGGACAAGTGCACAGTGCAAGTTGAAAAGCACTTCCTGAATTACTTTTGCTGAAAGACAGATGGACGTATTCGAATTTCAAAATCTCGCACATCACTTTCTCACTTTTAATAATTTAATAGCTTACTGCGTTTTCACTCCCGGTCAACTTAATCATTTCCATAGCTGCATCAGTATTTATTCTGCAGTTTAATGCGGTCAAATATAGGAAAAATGCAGTGACGTAAATAACATTCATCTCTTTACATACATCTTGATATACATCTAAGGACGGCTTTTACCGTACAAAGACCAATACCTAAGTTATCTATAAATGAAATTTCGGGAAAATTGAAAGCCACAGATAGATTTTAGTTAACGACAAATTTCGATGCAGAGAATTCATGAACGATGCAAGATATGATATAACATTCAAAAGTTATAAAGCACATGTCCATAAAAGGAACAATCGACGCTTGCCGTCTATAATTTTTCTATTATTTTTTCCTTTTTTTGTGGTACAAATTGATTTTTTTAGTTCTGTTGTAGTTGTCCTTAGATAATCCTGCATTCTTCTCCTTTCTCCGTCCCTGAGAGATTTGTTGACTAAATGCTTGATGCCAGCCAATAGCCTATCGAAGCAGCGGTTTTCGCTAACAGCAGCCAAGTTTAATGAGTTGTGTCGCTAAGCTGAATCTATCTGCAAAAAACTTTCTCTATAAACTATTAATAGTTAGTAATAGTTCGCAGCAATTAAAGTAATTGTTATTAATAAAATATTTTCGTCATTGAAATTGATTAACAGATTGGAGGAGCTAGAGGCCAGCTCTTTACCTTACAAATATCGAATGTGAATTAATGGAATTGAAATTTATTAGCATGACACTTGCACCGCCCGCTTTTCCATTGAACTTTTAAGCTTGACAATATTCACTTTACATTTTTCGGATGCGTGACATCGTAATCGTTCAAAATTTTGAAAAGTCTATAGTCATTTTTATGACCTTCGGCAGATGACATACACAAATGTAAGTGGATAAGAAAATCAAGACATTAGATTAGTACGATTCACTTGCTTTTGATCACATCCACTTTTGGAATTGAAACTATCTGAAATTAAGGCAATTAGTCCTATCATCTGGTTTGATCTAATTGGCTATTACCGTTACCGTTTGTTAAGTCAAAGTACAAATAATTCGATTCGAGATCGCATTCTGATTAAGAATACTGCCTGCATTATATGTAACGTATATTAGTATTATTATTATAATTTTAGACTAATGAAGTAAATTCTTAGACTAAAAAAAAGATATTGAGCACTAGCGACACAGGCTATCGGCGCTAATTTAAATAAATGGATATTAGATAATGAGCTTAGTGGTATCAAAAAAGTAATATATTGAATTGTAATTCTGTTCTGAAGCTGATTGTAGAATGTCCAAAGGGTTAATCGTTCCAAATGCAATACTTCTAGCCAAGCAAAAGTTAAGGCAGTCGCAGAGAATGTGCTTTATGGTGAGAGTTTGTCCACAACTGCAGATTGGGGAGGAAGACTTCTTCAAGATCCATAAGTGAGTTGCAATTGTCTGACCAAGGCGATATGTAACATATAACATGATCACTTTGTGTGAAATTGTATCCGATTAATTTCGGACCTCCTAGCCTTGTACGTGCTTGGATTCTTTTAATCTAGAAACTAAAAGGACAACATTTTTTTGATAAGGACACGTTTCGAGAACACACTTCAGTAAGTTTTTTGATTATTCATATTTATTTCACTGCTTGTTTTATTGAAGCATAAGAATCTAAAGCTTATGTCCCTATGTACGAAAATTTTACTCTCTTACGTTACAAGCTTACGACTCTTATTTTAATGTTAAAGTTTCTCTTTCTTTTGTATTGCAATAATTCTCTCACTAACAAGAAACAACAAATTATTCGTTGTACTTTTACGTAAAATAACCTGTTGTTCTGGAAACAGAAAAACGCTTATATATGAGCCGTTGCACCCGAAAACAGTATAAACACCTTTCCTTTATTCAATAGGAAAATTAAAAGGTATTCTCGACATTTTCATAAATTCACAATTTTCTTATGTCGTTAACAAATTTTTTCGTTTACTTTTCTACATTTCTTCTGAGATATTTTAAACTGTCAACTGGCCTAACATTATCCAGCAATGGCGAAAAAAACTAAAACTTTGCGCTCGATCATAACGATTTGAAACTCATTAGTGTTAATTCGTGGTCATTATAATCGTCTCGTCAAACGAACAATGCTAAGATTAGCCTGCAAGCAAATTGCATGTTTCTGTATCTTAGGCGTTTGCTTTTCACACACGCAGAGGAATTTTATCGTTCTATTAAGGTTTACCCATTAATGTGTTTAACCGGACAACTTAGGAGAAGCTATGAATTTTGAGCAAGAAATAAAAGTGTTTTTTTGTTAATTTGAGATTAAAATAAAAAAAAAAAGTCAATGTCTTTTGAAACGTGCATATTAATGACTCTAGGTATGTATGATGCTGAAACGAAATGAAGAGCGTGTTAATCCGCAACTGGGTTTGGATAAATATCAAGAGCAGAGTGGCGGAAAAGCCGAAAATAGGTACAGACGCCTGGACTGAGTGGGAAGTGAGCGATGCAATATCTTCGGCAAGCATACACCATTCCATGAAAACATTGGTGACATTTTTGAAGGACTACAAGACATGAGGGGAAACATAACAGAAAGTTGAGAGAGCGCACAATTGCGAAAGAAAAATTTAAGACATAATACCGCACGAAAAGGTATCGCATCTGATATACGTATGTGAGAAGAAGATTGTATTCAGCAACATATAAGTTACGTTCGTGAAGATCCCAGTGGCGGGAGCGGTAACATTAAAAACCGCCAATATATCAATAACAGCGCAAGGTCATTCATTGTAAATGATAAAAACACGTTTATCTTTTATGAAAATGATCGATGACCCTTGATAGGATATATATAGGCGGAATGGAATTATCACAAAAGCCGCAGAAATAGATGATGGATAACATAATACTTACGTGTTTTGCAATTTTTCCCTTAAGAGGCTTGCTTGTCGTTAAATCGCTCGCCTAAGAAAATTACGCCAAGCTCGTAGACTAAGTTAGGTATGGAAAAGGTATTCTGAACAAGTGCGGTCAAGTGTCAGCGAAGGGTTCCGAAAAGACTGCTCGCACTTTCCATACAAATTCTCATCTTAGCAGATAAATCAAATTTTAGCTTTCAATACAATTATAAATATTTTTATAAATTAATGGCGAATAGACATGGGGAACAGGTTGAAAATCTCTCCGCTAAGATGTTAAATAATGATGCGATAATGAATTTAACGATGTAGTGTTATGCTTGAAACTGTTGTGGCGTATGCTTATGACGTAGTTTCAACAATGTCGACAAAACAATCAAATTATTGGAAGCAAAGTTCCACCCCTAACGAAAACAGTGTCTTACATTAATTAAGAATATGTGAGAAGTTTTGGGTGGGATGTGACGAGTCGTTTATTGCCTAAAATTAATATATAAGAATGTGATAATGTTAGCAAAGTGAAAAATCTTTTTTGGCTTATATCGTTAATTGCGTTTCCTTTCAGCTCAGCTCAGTTATTTCAAATTTTTGATTATAAGAAAATTGTACTTATGCCCATTTGAAATGTAATGCTATCTTTATTCATATATATGTTTACGTGCATATATGCATACATACACTCTTGAAAAAGCATCCATATAAAATTTCTTCTTCGTTAAAAGCAGCACCAGCATTGAGGAACTAACACTAACGACGACAGATGATGTTATATGAAGCCAAACGAGGAAGATATTTTGTTGAAGTTAGTTGTTAACGAAATCTGGTCGTAAGTGGTTGTTTAGGGCGGTCGAAACACAAAACGGACGATTGATATGAATAAATAGCATTATATAAAATAAATTCAAGTAGCATTCATAACGAAATTTAAAAAAAAAAAAAAAAAAAAAAAAAAAAAAAAAAAAATTGTTATTGTTTTTTTTAAATCACTCATACGCTTAGGTGAACAATATTAGTCTTATAAAAAATATTATTAAATTAAATTTTCAAAAAAAATTAAGTAAATAAATAAAAGTGAAAGTTTAAAAGAAGTAAGAACATTAAAAAAAAAAAAAAAAAAAATTAATGAAAAAATATTTCCGATTGCATGTGTGTGTGTGTGTTTGTTCATGTTCATGTGTTCTTCGACTTAACTTTGATGATCTGAACAACGATGTTTCCTTTTTGTTTTCTATGGTCCCACATGATTTGATTTCACAGCTTATGTTGCGATGGCAATGATTTTTATAATAAAACGGAAGCAATAACAAAGCCATGTTGTGTGTGTTACGTGCTTAAGTGGTTTATCGAGTGTAATTATGTTAAATTTTGTGGTCTATCTTTGTGCGCTATACTCAATTAAAATCTGTGCTAAGGAAGGGAGAATAGAATTTTTAACAACGCCTCGAATTTAATATTTTCGTAAATTATTTGCACAAAAAAAAAAAAAACAAAAAAAAAAATTATTTTTTAAATTTCAAAAAATTTGTACAAAAAAAATGAACAAAAAGAAAATCGCTTTGTATATATTTGTTGCTGCTAAAACAACTAATAGCGAGCTAAGCGTAATGGATATTTTGATAATTTAGTTAATAAGTTTTAGAAAAAAAAAAGTAAAAAGTAAGTATATTATAAGCAGAGATATTCGTATTGTTACTTTTTGAATCAATGAATTATTCGCAATGTCAGATACGGACTTGACACTTGGACTTATCTACCGCAATTTACCTTCAACTTTAACTATCAGTCAATGCGTGTTAGCCAAAGCCCTTGATCTATTAAATTGTCTCCTTTTTCACCTTCACAACGCATATGACTTTTCTGCTTTAAGACTCGCGATTGTGAAGCCCTGGCCAATCGATAGACAAACAGGGGCGATGACTGAGAGCGTTTTTGAATGTTTAAGAATCTCAAAGAATATTTCCAGGTAGAATAGTTACAAGATACAAAAAAAAAAAAAAAAAATAATAATAATAATTTTTGCGAGCAAAGCACAAAGCATATCTATCAGCTTCTAAGGGCAATATTGTGCTTCCAACGTTACTCTGGCAGTTTTCACGTCTACATTTGCGAAATATTTTTTTAAGTAACTTTGAATTTTTATTCGTCCCTGGGGAAGAGTTAACAACTTTTTAGTAATGATTCGACATCAATGTTTAAGCAGCTCGTAATTAAGAACAGTTATAGAAGAGGGCCAATGCACGATCCAGCGGCACAATGTTATAAAAAAGAGTAGAAAATGTCTTTCTTGCTTTATCTTACATTTGATATATAGATTAAAGTACTAGTGGAAATTCTTTCTTTTTTCTTTTTATAGAAGAAACAAAGGCAGCTCAAGCCATACGTACGTAACTATAGGCATGAAATCAGATTTTGCATCAACCACTTTCTTATTACGCTGTCGCGAAGTGTGTAAGTGAGTATCAAATAAGTAAGTGATTAACTGACGATTCGCAAATTTAATAGTCAGTAAAGTGCATTCAATAAAACAATTTTTTTAAACTTTTATTTAAGCGAACAAAAGGTAATGAAAATATCAGTAAATTCTCTCCTCGCCGGCCGAGAGGGGGAAAGATAAATTGCGAAAATATCGCACACAGCATATACAAATATGTCGAACATATTTATATATCTGCAGCTGAAAAGAAAACAACTTGTGAAAATTGTATTTAAATGGTATCTGTTAACTCATATAGAAGTGACGAGCAGATTTGTACAAGCGTACAACGTGGTTATAGAAACACATAGTATATGCGACAATACTGGTTTTCCATTTTTCGTATGATTTTGCTGTACATTGCAGGAGGCACAAAAGAAAATACTACTCAAAAAAAAAAAAAAAAGGTATAAATAAGAAAAAATGCCAACTTTTTAAACAACATGAAGATAATAGTCATCTCAGAGTAATAGCGATGACAAACATGACGTAAATCGCATTATAACCAGATAGTCTTTATTGGTAGATCAATAGCCCTCGTCCTGGTGTTGAAATCGGTAATAACATCTACAATAGCTATTGATGATAAACCTCATGTTACGATTCACAGAGGTCGACACAATTGCATATCCCAGCGCGTAGTTGGTCTAGTGCAGTTAACAAGATTACGGGCCATATGGTGGGTACGCAAGACTCGTTCAACAGCGAGTGTAGAATTTTCAATAAACGCAAAGAATCATTTTCCTGGTTTTGTTAATGTTTCATTGACTACTGTTTGTTTATCCCTCCAGGAAACTGCTTGTAGCACCGTTTAATCGTTGTTTACGTTTAATTATTGTAACGTGCATACAACAAATAAAACTAAATGTGAAATGAAAGTATGCATCTCAGTGTTGCTTGTTCTATAGGCGACAATGCACCTTCAGCAACGCACTTAATTTCAATTAACTTTATTTTAGGGCGTTTCAACTTAAGAAATCAACATCAAAGAAGGACGAGCCGTTCGTATAAAAGACCTATTTATACCTTAGATCGGATAGAGTCGAAACGATAATGTATAATGTATATAGCATAAGTGATAAATAATTTTCTGAACTGGCAAATTAATGTGGTGTTTACAAAAAATCCATATTATTTTTAGAAAGTTCCAACCCTCGAACAACGTCTATCAAAAAATTCACATCATTTCGATTATTTGTTTATGATTGATTGAAAGTGCTTTAGCTGCCGGTAGATTCGTTATATTCAAAACGAACCAATATATGTATTAATTAAATATTGCTTTTTAATGGGAAAATATATCGTTCAAAGTCGGCGTTACAGTCGGCGTACAGATCTCAGACTACGGTGACTGAGATGTCTGAAGCATCATTCATAATCATTCATAAAGGATCTTCATCATCAATTAGCCTATTTATATAATTTTTGGCAAACAAATAGTCGTATATGATCTGATCAAGACACTGTTACGAAAAGTGTATCTCAAAGGAGAGGTTCACCACTGCATACGCAATATGTACCATTTTTAGTGAATACGCATCATTTTGCTTAACTGTCAAGATCTGATATCTGTGACAGTTAGGGGTAAACTGGCCATAGCTATGCTAGGCAACGATTTCAGTTCACAACAAGTAGCGTAACTGTCTTACAAAAACGATATGAATTCAGCTGCGGCCAAGCGAAATCGCTATCAACTATTGGATCATAAAAAATCGACCTAAATTTTTTAAAAATGCGTATACAATGAACTGCTGACCGGCCCTATCAACTCTCGTATTCTACATACGTATATATACATACGTATACGTATACTTATATTCTACATATATATATATGTACATTTTGAATGCCTCCCGTATGATTCAAAGTTTCAAATACTCGGCCGCTAGAGAGCAGAAATTTTTTAAACTTTTAATATATTGGCGCAATTTGTTTTGCTATACTTATGGCTATTTATAATCATTGCAATAAATAAAAAATAAGAAATCGAAATAAAAATAAAAATCGTATGCCTATCTTAAAACGCAGCATGCATAACAACTTATCGTTGTGGTGTATAGTGCTGTGTGGAATGTGTTTATCTTGCGTAGCACTTTTTAATCGACAGTATGTCTTTATATTATTCTTATATCGGTTACCGTCCAGCAAGATCATTGTTAATCAATGCAATTAGCTTTGAAGAGGCGTAGGCGAGAATATCTGTACCAAGTTTCGTTTCTTCATTCAAATCCATTCAAATCTAATCGTTAAGTGTACGATTATTGCAAATAGTGATAGAGAGATAAATCGCCTAAAATGCATCATGCGTTTAAGAATAGTATATAGACTATGCGACTATCCGGTGCTTGCCGCTCTGTTCACACGAAATATGTTGCAAGTGGATTCGTAAGCTTTATTTATATAATATAAGTATAAAAATTATTTTATTATTCGAATTTTTATTAGGTAATAAATTTTTATTGTAAACATATATACAAATTAACATAAACATAATTGAAAATCATGTTAAATGTCTACTCAAATAAAAGAGCAATAGTTTCGCGTATAGAGGATCTGTGTAATTAATAGAAATTTGGAAAATTTCTGTTTATTAGCAAAACATGGTTCAAGTAATTAATTAAACATGTACAATGCACAACAACTTTTGAACGAACATGTAAACAAATCGATAGAATGATTTTGTCGGAAAAGTTATGACGCACATTAAAAGTACAATCGTACAAGCATTGTACATGTATGCATGCACGCAATAGCGCCGTTCGTAGCGATCAAAAATGTATATATATGTACTTGATAGGAATTCAATTTCAAATGGAACAAGGAAAGATATCATAAGTGATATCATTTCGAAAACGAAACGTTCTCCTGATCTCAAGCATATTGAACGATTATCGATATTCAAGCAATTATCACCTTTCGCCGTATCTGTTATCTGCCTATTTGACAACCCAACATATATATAGTGTCGTTTGGAAATTAATTACAAACCACAAAATGGTTATTATTTTATGATAACATGTCAATCCCTTTTTCCCTTTTAATATAAAAATAGATTGAATTGTTTATAAACTAGCTAAGGCAAAAAGTTCATGGCGCTTTACGCGATAGATTATTTTGATATCTCAAAAAAATTCGTAAAATTAACCCGCTCAAGTCATTATATTGCCACGCGTAAGGAAAATAAGCGCCTGTAGATGATTGAAAAGAGAACAATGTCACATCTGTTAGTTCGATATTTCTAAAGCAATCGAAATTGTAGCAAAAAGCTCAATTAAGGTGATAACATATCGCAGGCTTGCCCAATATATCGCGGCTTTATGCCAAAAATGCATTAGCAAAATCACTCGCACACAAATGACTCGCGCATTTTCACTCTAGAAAT